GTTGTGCTATTTCCATTAAATTTAATTTAGTCGTCAAATCTTAGCAGTCTTTTTACCGAATTTCATTAATTAAATCACGCTCACAAACGAAAGATTTCTACGCCTTTCAATTGGATTGACGTAATAATCGTTTCTTCCATTGATTATGAAAGGGACATACTTTATGGATACGGGTAGAGTATGTAGACAAGGATATTTAAGTTTATAAAATAAATCATAAGTTACCAAATCTAACATACAAACGTTTTGATAAAATGTAAAACGGAAATTTAATACGCATTTGTATCATAAGTGATGTAGCGTTTGAAAATTGGAGTGAAAGAAGAAAGGAACATATAGAGGCATAAGCAGAGAGAAACACGGAAATACAAAGGGACGAACCAGCAGATTGAAAGGCAAGCAAAAAGATAGACAGAATGAACAAATAGATACATAGCAGATTTTTCACATCATAAAGTAATTGGAACTTTATACATTATTGTTGGAGCTGAGATAATCCATTTGGATTATCCAATCCATATGGATTGGTCATTTGCGGCGTCATAAACTAACTACGCGAGTAAAGGTTTTATGAGGGTGGGACCTAAGCCTTCAATTTTTTAAGCAATTTCTTTTCTTTAATTCTCCATCTAAATCTATAAGTAGTTGGCTTTGCAGAAAACTTTTAAAGATTGATGATAGTTCTAAGGTGTTGATGAAAATTTTAGAAACGAAACGTCGTGTGTTATGTTTGAAAAGTAAAAGAAAAAAATGAAAATTAATTTAATTAAATACTTCATTGGCTCCTGAACTCTAATTGAACACATTAAACTCTAAAAACGTGTCGCCATCTGATAATAGAAGTTCCATTTAGTATATAAGCACCGCTTAGTACATAATTGTAGTTATTTATTTAAAACCATGGAAAAATGTAAAATTATAAAAATAAATAAAGTCAACCTTAATAAAAAAAAATTAAACTTTGTTTCATTTATATTTAAATCTTTCGGTCCAATTCGAGGTACTTTGGCTTGAAAAAAAGTTTTCGTATTAAATTTTACTGTAAGTTGGGAATTAGTCTTTTATATTTTTCATATTCGACCTCGAAGCAGGTGTCCTCCGTGGTTTAATAAGACAATTAAATATCACAAGAATAGAAAAAACTCGCTATTCAAAAAATATTCGAAAAGTGGCTCTGCGCTCGACTATGTCGCTTACTCGGTGGCGAGGCATAGATTCAACTCCCTCATCCATCATTATTACTGCAGATACCTTCAGTTCATTAGATCCTCTCTGTTTGCTAATCCTAAATTCTTCTTTAAAGTTGTTAACTCTAAAAGAAAAATTTCCACATATCCCTCTCATGTTTCTTTTAATGGCTCTGATTCCTCGGATGATTTTGAAATCTCAAATCTTTTTGCTGAGTATTTCCGACGTAACTTTTCGATTGCTAATTTCGATTTATCAGCAAACTACCCATATCCTATAACTAACTCGGTTTCAATACCTAACTTGGTTATTTCGGAAGATGACGTTTTTAAAGGGTTGAGCTCTCTAAAATACAGTTGTTCGCCTGGACCTGATGGAATTCCATCATGTGTACTTAAATCTTGCGCTGTCGAATTATGTGGTGTGATCTCAAAGATTTTTAACATGTCCTTGTATTTAGGTGTTTTCCCTTCATGTTGGAAGAGTAGTTTCCTTATTCCTATCCACAAGAGTGGAAGTAGACAATTTGTTAAGAACTACAGAGGCATAGCCAAGTTGAGTGTCTTGCCCAAGTTGTTCGAGCGTATTGTGACTCAGCATTTGGCCTTTGCCATTAATTCGTATACTTCTCCGCACCAGCACGGCTTTCGGAAAGGGCGATCTACATTCACCAACTTGTTAGAGTTTACCTGCCATGTTTTCAAGGCTTTTTCTAGTGGCTCTCGCACAGATGTTATTTACACTGATTTAAGCAAAGCATTTGACATGGTTAACCATAGACTACTTATCTTTAAACTCCAAGCCTCTGGTTTCCCACCCTACTTAGTGAAATGGATAAGCTCTTATCTGCACAATAGATCCTTCAGGGTTTTGTTTAACTTCATCACCTCGGATGAATTCCCCGTTACGTCTGGCGTACCTCAAGGAAGTCACTTAGGTCCCATTTTATTTAGTTTATACATTAACGATCTCCCATCGGTGGTTAATTCCAGCCAGATCTTAATGTATGCTGATGATGTGAAACTGTTTTCTTCCTTCTCTCTTGAATCGCAATTACATCAGCTTCAAGGTGATTTGGATAATTTTGTTGCATGGTGCTCTTTGAATCTGCTGAAACTAAATCTGAGTAAATGTAAGAAGCTTTCATTCTCAAGAAGAAAGTCATTCATTACTCAGTATTTCATAGATTCGCATAAGTTGGAGGATGTCGATTCGATCACAGATTTAGGCGTTCTATTTGACCATAGGTTACGTTTTAACTTGCATATTGAGCTCTCGATTAGCAAAGCTAGGTCCGCGCTTGGTTTTATAAAAAGGTGGTCCAAAGAGCTTGATGATCCCTACATTACGAAAAGGCTGTACATGTGTTTGGTTAGACCCATACTCGAATATGCCTCAGTTGTGTGGTCTACTTCATATAGGTGCTACGTAGATTCAATCGAATCTGTTCAAAAGCAATTCTTGCTGTTTGCCCTTAGAAATTTGGGTTGGGATCCGATTGCCTCTCTTCCTCCGTATGAAAATAGGTTGCTTCTGTTGTCCCTACCGTCTCTTGAGAAACGTAGATATGTTCTTGGCGTTTCCTTTCTAATTAAACTAATAAATGGTGCTATTGACTCTTCTTCATTACTTGGTGAAATAAGCTTTAATGTCCCTAACCGCTTCTCCAGGCACTTTATCTTGGTTAAGCTTAGTCAGTGTAAATTTAATTATGAGCTGTTCAATCCGCTCAGAGTCGTTTGCAAGAACCTAAATGACGTCTACCACTTATTCTCGTTATCGGACTCTTTAAAGTCGATTAAAGCAGCATTGCTTAATACGCGCGATTTACCTATGTCGTATTTAAATTAGCTTTTATCCTAAAAAATCGGTACGTTTCGAAAATGAATTATTGATAATTTATTATCGGTTGCCAGGCTTATGCACGTTTGCGATGGTTTAAGGGTTCATTTGCAATTTGGTCCTGTACCGGTTGTAAGTTTGTCCCTATGCTGATAGTGTACATGCTTTTTTTTCTTTTTCTTTTTTTTTGTTCTTATTTGTTTTATTATACTTATACTAAATTTTATTATTAATTAATATAAGTTTTGCATTAAGAGCCAATTGAACTCGACTGTTATTTGTTTAGTTGAGTTTCTAGTATAAGTAGAATAAATAAATAAATAAATAAATAAATATTTCTTTTAGGTTCATCTTTTTCATTTTTTTAAATATTATTATTATTATCTTCTACATATACATTTTTACCATATCTTTTGTTATTATTACCTTATAGATATATATTTTTGTCATATATTTTGTTATCATTATTAATTTTGGGAAAATATCCCATCATGTGAGGCGGGAAGGCCGCGCACAAACATAAAAGAGGAGCATGGAGGAGGAAAAGCTTCAAATAAGTTACTTCGACCGTGGGCATTGCGATATTGAAAAGACGTTACATCATTTACGAATATTTATTTGTCCTCTTAATAACCATGGGCATTGTGATGTGTGCCTTAGTTTCGGCTACTGAAGTGGTAACATAACATTTATACGTTAAAAACACCAAATTAATACAAATCATTCTGGGAGGATACCAGTAATGCGAAATTGAAATCTATGACAGCTAGGAATGGACAATACTGCGTGATATTTTGGTGGACGCTTGGCATCATTTTCACTATACCTTTATTAAAATCTATTTAATTGGTATTTGTCATGAATTTTTGTATAGAAAGTCTAGAGAAAGATCCCGAGTTTATGAGCAAAAACCAATTTTCTACTCCTTTTTGAAAGCAGAGGTGTCCTTACTTTACGTGGTGCTATAGGCGTCCACCGATTTGGTTCATTTTCCCATTTTCAATACGTGCAAGAATTTTCAATGTTTCTCCCAAATTTGATTCGATAGCTGAATTTTTGCGACCAGGAGAATATTTACAACAGCCGGATATGCTTAAATCGATTTAAAATTTGATGATAATCAAGAATATATACATTTTATAGGGTCTCTGATGCTTCCTTCTTGCAAATGTCACCCTCATAAAGAGGATTTACAAAACAAATCCCAAATAAGTCTGACTTTTTTAGAAGATAAATTAAGAGGATACCTGCTCTTAATAGAAAAGAAAAAACTAGACGTTAAGCCTGCGTCAAATTGAGCTTACCGCTTGAACGCATTCAAACACAACTAATAGATGAGAGCTTGCTATAGAATCATTTACAAAATCACAGTATTCCAAAATAATTTGTTACAGTTTCTTCATTACAACATCTTCATGCTGAACACCCCTTATTGCATTTAAACCAACCACTTCAACAACTGATATACTGTTAATGCGTTTTAGTGTGATTAGATTTCTATTACAAGGTAATCAAATACTTAGGCACATACATGCATGCACCCACATGCACACACTTCCACGCGTATATACGCCCTAGCATGTGACAAAAAATTCTTAAATTGAGCGACTCATTTATTTATTATCGTTCAGTCACTTTTATTTATTTGAGTCTTTTAGTCTTTTTGCTTTTTTTTCATGTTATTTTGGTGTTTCGCTCTGTGGAATATCTTCTCGATGAGATAAGAGTGAACGCTTCTATTCTGGGTAGCCTACTATTTCTGATGTGCTGAGGTATTGTCGAACAGAAAAGGACACTAGTATCGAACATAAATTTATCCAAACTAACGTAAATTCAAATGTAATAATAATTATAAAAACTTTTATTGAATTATTACTTAATTATTTACAGAAACCATTTAAGGAAATCATGTCTTCGATAGCAGTACAAAGGGGGGATGATGACAACACATGATATAGTTCGTTGTTTATATATTAGGGCAGATGCTGGAAAGGCAAAGCACAACTCACATTGTAGTTTAGTCTTATCATTTGCCTTTGATAGTTTTCTAATAATTTTAAAATCTTGTACTGATAAATAGTTTATCAAATGTTATCCTCTTCTTACTTTGTTAGATTAATATTTGTTATTAATAATTATGGTAACAATCATCAACAATCGTTAACACGTTAAACCTGTGTCATGAAATGTAGAAGAGGAAGACCAGATTGAACGAATTTATATATTCATATTAGACAAATTGAAAATGTCCGTTAAAAACGACAAAATCAACTCTCTGTTGAAAATGATAAATCTCTATCTCTATCTGGTTCTAGTTGGTTTCTTATCGGCGCTCGATCCTTAAGACCAAAATATATTTAAGGAAGGTTCGGTGGGCGGTATTCCTTGTCCTCGGGGTGTCCAGGACATGTCAACGCATTTCCATCATGGGTCGGGGATATTTTTATGGCCGAGGTAATTTCTCATCGTGGTCGCAGCATATTTCTATCATATTCGCGGGATATATTTTATCATGGGATATTGGCAGTTATTGAAAACAACTTTGCGCTCTCCCCATTCTAAACAAAACAAAAGGGTACGTCTACTGGCATTTATTTCGTTTGCCAATGCTCTATGACGCTACTTCAAATTTGCTATACTCACCATGCGCGCCTAAGCGGAATGCGTGCTGGCAAATTAATGCATTTGAAGATGCATTGAAAGCTTCCAAGTACACTGAACGTCATTTTAATTTATATTTTTATATGAATATATATATGCATATATATATATAGTATAGTTTCACACTTATGTATAAACGGTATGTCCCATGTTTCAAAATGTTCTGACTATCATTTAAAGTGGTTTGCATTCTTGATTTAACGAATTCACACATTTTTGTTGTTTATTCAACATAAATTTTTAGTTTTCTTGAGCTTAAGGTTTATTTTTTAAGCCTGGCGTATATTAGCTTTTATACGTTTCTCGCTAACTTGTTTGACGAGTTGTTCCTGTAAAACTAACAATTCGCGAGTTCTGTTATAAATTTTATTCTGTGGGCGCATGCTTGGATTCCAACGACAATATAGGCCTTTCCATAACTTGATAATCCGCATGCTGGCAATAGGTCGAAGAACAGTCGAAGTTTGGGCACCTTGAGTAAACGTGGGATATAAAGGATTAAGATATTGATCCATCGAGCTATTGATGAAAGTCCATAAGGAAATTGTTTTATGTTTCATGTCTGTAAATAGAAAGAGTATATATATAAAAAAAGGAAGACCTTAAATCAACGTTTTTACCTTCTGCCATGCGTTCCGATTCTGTATTGCAAAGAAAGGTTCCAAAGCGACACGAATACAAATGATCAATAATTGTTATGAGTAAATGTTCGTTAAATTCGAAAGCATTGGGAAATTGCTGACTAACTTGCCATACACAATCAATAAACTGTAAAAATACTGGAGACCGATCGGCATCTGAGTGACGATTATCACCATGACCAATGCGCTGTTGAAATTTATGACCAAACGAAGACCATTCTTTCTCGATAAGTACTTCAAACCCTCGGAAAGTGCGGTAATAAGGATCTAGGAGTAGCATTGCCAGGGCTGTAAGCTGAGCGGTACGATCCCAGCCATCAGAACAGTGCACCACAACTGATGTACTCATCGTTTCAACTTTGTCCACTATACGCACCGCCCCCGCTACTATACATTTAATGTGCTTCAACCATAGGCTATTATCAATCGAAGACAGCCATTTGGAATCGTCGATTGTGGGATAACAAACCTCTTTGACTTTACGCAAACTCTCTCTCATTACATGTATATTATGTATATCCAAAAAGTGTATTTCAACACTTTTATAAGCTTCTTCGGATTCGTACCCTCCACCTTTAGCTTTATTAGCTATAGCATTAGCGCTCGGCCTAGCGTCCATAATTGCTAATTTGTCGGATTGAGCATTAGCTTCCATAATATAATTTAGAAATAACTCATCATCCGCGCTGCGCTTGCCTCCTACCCCTACCAAAGGTTGTGAACATCTTGTTATTGCTGCTTGGGACTTTTGATGAATCCAAGACAAAACCGGTAACCGACATCTAGAACGAAACAAGGCGACACGTCTTAAAAAATCGTCAGATGCCACTTTTGGCACGGCCCAAACTGCTGGATAGCTATCGCAAACTGCATAATTCTCATTAATTTTAGTTGCACGCCACATATCATTTGGAACACCCAAGCGTCTCAATTCTGCCAAAGGCTCATACACCGCCCAGCCATTCTCTCCTACTTGCGTACTAGTTGCTGCATGAGCAAAAGCAAACAACCTGCCGCTATATGATAATGGGAATGCATACGATTGCAATTTTTCAAAAACTGTACGTCTAGAATGATTTTGTTGCTTGTGTGCAAATCGCAAATTTCTCATATCTTTACAGAATATCTCTATGCCATATGAATTTTCTCCTCTCGATGTGGCTCCACCAATCTTCTCCACTCTTGCTATAACGCCCAAAGGCACGTCTAATATGACAGGCGGCGGCTCATGGTCACGTAAAGGCAAAGAACGGAAATATAACCGATAATTAGTTATCGTTAACGCTCCGTAAGTCGGCCCCCGATAGGGACAAACATATGTCACATCGTTTTTCTGATCTTGATCTTCTTCTCCATCCAAATATGGAAAGGGTGTGTCTCTAGACGAACTTAATTCAGCATCATGTTTGGAGCCAGTTGAACTTGATTTAGAATCGGTGTCCAAAGAATTTGTGCTGGTATTCTTTGATGCTGCCTTTTCTTGGAGGACGGTAACAACTAATAACGGATCTTTGCCGTCCATAGATAAAATATTGCCCACAACAATATATGTTGACGTTTTGTATCAAATTCTTCTTCTTCATATAAAAAGTAGTAGCAATTGAATTGCTTTGTTCAGTTCCCAATCTGTCACAATGTAAAGTACGTTCAGTAAACATAAAATATATACTGTGAACTGTCAAGCAGTGTTATTTCAACTAAAACTACTTTTACATGTAAAATTTGCTATTTCAACTAAACGCTATTTACTAGAAGAATGCAATTTTAAAAAATTAACTCAAATAAGGTATTAGGAAATTGTTGACAAGACTATGGATAGAGCGAACTATTGGTTTGCTACGGGCGATGACTGCATGATTTTGCGATGATTTTGAGCTAGGATTAATAACTACTTTTTAATATTATATTAGTTTGTTCATTTTCGGGTATGCTGTGTACAAATACGAAGGTTTTTCTTGATTCAGTGCAGATGAGAAACTGTCTTCCCTCACAGATGAATTGCTTATCATTTTTCATTTCATGGACACTTCAAATCGAAATGAATTTAAACCTATAGTCCCGGATTCACTTCACAATCAACACGTCAAACCACACATTTAACAAACGACAGCTGAAAAATTTCTTCTGAATAGGTGTTTTCTGTGTTAATGAGAAAAAGAAACAAGAAGTAACCAGCGGAAAAAATCGGATTTTGCTTGTTTTAGTCTATAGGAAAATAAACTAACATGAAAACAAATAACGACATTATGGTCGGCCAAGATCGACCTTTCAATACCCCACACCCCATTGTCTAACACAATTCTTATTTTTATTACAGAACACTAAGATTATGTCTTGTTTCTATGTAAAAGCATATTTTTCATGTACGTATTTATGGTTAATATTTACACAGGTCCAAAAATAGGCATAGATAGAAAAAAATTAGCTTTTATCAAGAGATTATTCGCGCCCATTGCAAAGGATGAATCCGCTGATACGATTAAGAAATCATCTGCATATTCAAAAAGAGGACTTTTGTCATCAAAGATCTTGCAAATTAGCTGTATATAGATTGCAAAGTATGGGTTTCAAGCAATTGCCTTGCGGAATATCACCCTTTACTCAAACTTTGTCTATACCCATTACCAACACACCAACACACCATAAGCTTTTCTGGTGTCCAGGGAAAGCGTAACAACCATTTTACTAAAATTAGGCATGAGAAAAGATAGTTCATTAGCGCACATATTTGTAAATTGACTGGCTGGAATATAGCTCTTGAGTATATCTAATCTATATATCTTTTATTATCATGGTCATTCCATACAGCACAACGGTTTAATTTTTGACTAAAATGTCGATGACGATTGATATAATTCCAGAAAAAACGCAAGAGTGTTGACGTGGAAGACTTCTACCAAGGTTTAGGTGATAAGAACTCAATATCAAAAAAACTTTGTTCTAATCTATCAAGTTCCGAAGACCGCAAATTGTTGTTCGAATACATTGGCCGCTGAGGTCTTGTTACACACGGCTTGCGGGGTGAACTGCGAGAAAATTTGGAAATAACATTCCCATGATCATCCTTGGCCAAAATGGTGGACGAATTCGCCAATTGAGAGAATTTTTCATTGCAGGAATTATCAACCAGACATTCAATGTAGTTTAAGGAAAACTCGTCTTTGACTTCTTTGTAGGAAAGATTTTTAATGACCATAATCTTGTTGATAGTTAACTCCCGCTCTCTGCTCGGGCAAAACTTGTTCAGTGTTGCGTTCGCTAGAACCACGGGAAAGGCACGTCAACATTCCACAGTTTTCGGTACGTTTAGGAGACTTACTACAATTGAAGTCCCTACTCACCTTGGTTTTACAAAACTTCGACGCATTTCTATATCTGCCACACTTAAAACGTTGTTTTAAAGTCGGTACTAAGTAATCCATAGGAAAATTGCAAAAATTAAGCCTGATAGACTTGGCTAGAGCTTTTCTTCTGAATAAATTCATACCTCTTCTTTGTAGCCTAAAGGGCGACTAAATGAGTACATCAGACACAGCATTTTTGAAAACCCAATCTATTCGACAGGCACGTTACGAATAATTCCGAATCTTTCCGTGAAAGCTCTCGGAACGTACGCTTTCAAAATTTTTTTGCCAAAGTCATTATTTTTAATGAAATTGTTCGTACTGAGAGCAGAGCTGAACAGTATTAATAATTAATTAACGAATTAATATTCAAACCCACACTCACTGTATCTTCACAAATTTCAACAAAAACGACGAAATTACATTGAGAAGTGTAGTCATAAAAATCAATTTCATGATTTGGAATCCGTCTGGCACCGAAATCGCAAGACTTATCAAAAACCTGGTTACTGAGCACTATTGAATAATCAGCTAAAGGAGATAAATCAACTCCATCCCCAACCACTCTCAATATCTTTTTGTTCTCAGTGGGTCAGACCCTGTTTCCGCAGGGAGAAGGACTGATGTTGTTTTGGTTGTTATTCCGGAAAACGTTTACCAAAAATCTGGACGAAAAACTATTTAACATATATATTTAAAAAAGGAATTTGCAATTGCAAAAAAATAAATAAATTTTTTTTTTTTTTGGATTGTTGGGTGGAGATGGACTAAGCCAATGGATTTGTGGCTTATATGTCCAGATAATAAAATGTCGTAATTTTGTTCAGAAATATGTATAAACCGCGACAAAAGAATTCGATGGGGAGACATATGAATGCGTAGTCTCATAACATTGCTGTTCGATTTCGTTAATCCACGCCTATAAAAATTGTATAAAACTATTCAGGAGACGTACAAGGG